ACTAAAACAATCTTGTAACAAGTTAATTCACAAACCAGTTGGTCATCCCTTCAATTATAACAAAGATGCTTTAAGTAAGTAAGCATCTAGGGAGCCAAATAATTTCCCCAGCACATGAAAGCTTCTTAAGTTACACTATCATAATCACCTTTGACTACACATGCCACCTCTTCTTCTCAAAGAACTTCTTTCCTTTCTTCAACCCTTCGAATGATTTCCTATATCAAGTCTGTACCATGATTCCAAAGCCCTGGCTCTAGTTCAGAGGACTCTAGTCAAAGCTCTAGATTCACTATATTCTCTCAGAAGAACAGAAGAAAACTATACTGATAACCTCCTAATCACTTCGGACTGAAAGGCAAAACACAGAGCTGCCATATTCTGTGGCATACATATGTCACTAGCTCTACCACTGTCTTGTCTGCAGCTACCTTATCAAATGATACCTCTCATCCCCAACCCTTTACCAAGCCTAAAAAGTGGTAATGACAGGTATAACTAAACCACACCAGGGAAGAAGATCTTTGTTTCCAGTATAGGCACAGAATCAGTCCTATGCAACAACTAATGCTACACTGATCCTCAGCAGCTAAACTACAGTATCCAAATCAGTCTAACATATCTCCCACTGCCAAGAAGAAAACCAAAAAGTTAACGCCCATAATTTTGCATGGTCCTATAAGTTGTCATTTTGATGAGCAGAATATAAACTGGACCAGAAACTATCATCTGAGAGTCATCCATATTTCTTCCTGTTCTTTTTTTTTTCTTCATGTTTCTCTTGTTTTTTAGCCTGCTCTCCAGTTTTCCTTCCACTTTTATGTTACCAAATGGTGGTGTTTATCATTTAATTTATTCTATGAATTTCAGTGATTAGGAGTTCCACTTAGACCCAAAGTCACCGGGACAATAAAATCTAACAGAACTCTGCAGTCAAATAACTGCTGTTTCAAATTTGATTATTTCTACTCTCAAACTGGGAGCTAGGTAAAAACTTAATCTATGTTTTACTTTCTTCACAGAATTATGAGAATAACTGTGTATATATGAAATATCTGAACCAGAGTTCAGCACATACAGGAACATACTACAATGGATATGTGCCATCATCATCATCATCATCATCATCATCACTTTTTGCACTGGGAAGTAGGATAACGTGTCCGCCCTAAGCAGCTAAGGAAAAACATAGCAGATAATCTTCCAGCATCTACTCAGCCTGCAACCTTCCTTCCTTTCCTCTGAAAACCCTCAGAGGCCAAGTCTCTGGTGGTCATCTGCTGTGGAACTAAACAGCTGAGGGACCGGGCAGGACAGAAATCTCTTGTCAACAAATGGCACCAACATGGATAACTGCATCCACATAAAACCTGAGAGTTTGGGAAGTAATTCTAACACAAAAGGACAGTTAAGCACAGCTTCTTGGTAGCAGCATTTTCTCATTTTCTTGCCACTTGTTACAGGCAAGTGGGTCTCATTGAAGAGAGGCTTCTTGACTCAGCTTTAGCTGCAAAAACCTTGCAGCTCTTTAAGAGGCTCTGCCACAAAGTACTTAAATGGTGTTTATAAATAGCTGACAGCACGTTTCTTGGTGGCAGGGACCTTGAATCTCCAAAGAGCTGTGGCTCCAGCCAGTACCTCCTCTAGGCTAGACTCTCAGAAAGATAAGGAATGGGTGGGATCCAGTCATCAAAGTCTAGGCTTTAATCCTAGCCATATCTCTTAGCAAATTAAAGACTCAAGTGAGGGCTGGAGAGATGGCTCAGTGGTTAAGAGCATTGCCTGCTCTTCCAAAGGTTCTGAGTTCAATTCCCAGCAACCACATGGTGGCTCACAACCATAATAAATAAATATTTAAAGACTCAAGTGGTCAGAAAAAGAAAGCTATATTCAGAAAAAGAAAGCTATATCGTAAAGATAGATTCAGACTAAAAAAAAACTCTAAACAGTTTGGAGTGTGTTTAAAAATACATGTAGGCTTGGGAGAGAAAAAAAGGATGAAGTCTTAGAAAAGAAAGAAAGAAGGAAGCAAACAAGGAAAGAGAGTAGTTGGGTGTGGTGGCACACACCTCTAATTCCAGTACTTGGGAGGCAAAGGCAGGCAGATCACTGTGAGTTCAAGGACAGCCTGGTCTATAGAGAGTTCCAGGACTTCCAAAGATACACAGAGAAACCCTGTCTCAAAAAGCCAAAATGTAAAATTTAAAAAAAAAATTGAGTTTAAAATAAAGCCACATAAGGATGGATAATACACAGAGTCTGGATATTGTATGTTATTGTGTTGTCTTTGAATTGTTTGAATGTTGAGGAAGGTGCAACAGCTGCTAAACTACATTTGATTATAAATGCTGCCTGATTAATCTAACATACATATTTTGAAAATGCCTTGACTTCAAAATTTAAGTCAAAAGATAAGTTACTTGGAAAAGAGGTTTTGCCACACAAAATGAGAGGCTGTGGATTCCTTCCAGGTTAAGAAAAATCAGATTTGATCAAGGAAGACCCCCCCTGAGAAATCTCCGACAGGAACAGATGGCCCAGATGTCTAAGTTCTCCATCCAGAACACTTTCAAGACTGCTGGCTGCGATGACCAAGTCTCACAGAATATTCCAGTCAGGACATGATCATAATTCTAAATTTTCACCAGGCGGTGGTGGCGCACGCCTTTAATCCCCACACTCGGGAGGCAGAGTTCAAGGCCAGCCTGGTCTACAAGAGCAAGTTCCAGGACAGGCACCAAAAAGCTATGGAGAGGGTTGGAGAGATGGCTCAGCGGTTGAGAGCATTGCCTGCTCTTCCAAAGGTCCTGAGTTCAATTCCCAGCAACCACATGGTGGCTCACAACCATCTGTAAAGAGGTCTGGTGCCCTCTTCTGGCCTTCAGGCATACACGCGAACAGAATATTGTATACATAATAAATAAATAAATATTTAAAAAAAAAAAAAAAGCTATGGAGAAACCCTATCTCAAAAAAATCCAAAAAATAAAATAATTCTAAATTTTCTTTAGGTCCCCATAAGATTATCGGCACCCCTGATAAACAGGAAGTAGCCTGAAAACTCCACCCACGTTCCCAAAATAAATATCTTTTAGATATTTATCTTTGTTTAGAGTGTTGGTTACAAGTTGTTATGGATAACAGTCTGGGGGAAAAAAACTAAACAAGGAAGATTAAATCCAGAGTTCTTGTTTTAGAAAAAAAGGTGGGGAATGCTGTGGGACAATGGTCATGTACCCCATCGCTTATATTGTATTGTTTTAATAAAATGCTAATTGGCCAGTAGCCAGGCAGGAAGTATAGGCAGGCGGACCAGGAAGGAAGTAGAGGTGGGGTGACAAGAACAGGAGAATTCTGGGAAGAAGACTCAGTCTGCAGTTGACACAGAGGAAGCAAGATGAGAATGCCTCACTGATAAAAGGTACCAAGCCATGTGGCTAACATGGACAAGAATGATGTAAGAATAAGAAGCCTGAGCTAATAGGCCAACCAGTTTATAATTAATGTAGACCTCTGTGTGTTTCTTTGGGACTCAACAGTTGCAGACCAGGTGGGACAGAAACCTCTGGCAACAGTCATTCTACTAAAATGGAGGGAGCCAAGAACATTACCTTTTACCAAGCACAAGGAGATACAAACACCAGGTGATTCCAGTGATGGGAAAGTGAAGCTTATCCACAAAACAAAATGGAGGAGAGAGAAAAGGGGGCTGGGCTGTGGTGGCACACACCTTTAATCCCAGGCAGAGGCAGGTGGATCTCTGTGAGTTCGAGGACAGCCTGGTCTACAGAGTGAGTTCCAGGACAGTCAGAGTTGTTACACAGAGAAACCCTGTCTCGAAATACAAAAAAAGAAAAGAGAGAGAGAGAGAGAGAGAGAGAAAGAGAGAGAGAGAGGGGATGCTTTGGTTTGCACGACTTTCAAGGTCCTGGTTCCACTTTGATCTGAGTCCTGATGCCCTTTCCACCCTATATGATTAAAGTTAGTTTCTCACTTTAACCAGTGACATTTCTAACAGCTTCCCACAAACCAAAATTAAAAACAAACAAAAAACGAAAAACCTCCCATCCCTGGAAGAGAAAATAAACATGTTATTAAGAGATGGCTCAGAGGTTAAGAGCACTGACTGCCGTTCCAGAGGTCCTGAGTTCAATTCCCAGCAACCACATGGTGGCTCACAACCATCTATGATGAGATCTGGTACCCTCCTCTGGCATGCAAGCATACATGGAAGGAATGTTGTATTCCTTTTTTTAATATTTATTTATAAATAAATAAATCTTTAAAAAAATAAGATAAAAGGCAATATTGTGGGGCAAAATGAATCCAGTGCTGGGTTTACTGTAGTGAGGCAGGCTGTTTCAGGAGCATCACTAAACACAGGACAGGTACAGTTCAATTATCCTTCACAACCATGGTTCTCTGTATAAACTGATAGGGGCTACAACATGGATCGCTTTTTACCGGAAAAGTCGCTCATTTCTGAAACAGAAGGAAAATGGCAGGTGCTGTGCAGTCCCTCACATTCTTTCTTTTGTTGGTGTCCAACCAGACTGCATCCTTTCCCCACAAATAACAGTCTTACAAAGCAGAACAGTTTACCAGTGAAGTAAAGTAATCCAAACATCACCCGTGGCTAATTTACCCCAACCGGCTGCAGATTTAACTTCAAATCCAGACTTACACGTCTCCACTTTAAAACACAATTTAAAAAACAAACAAACAAAACAATCAGGGTTTCTATCTGTAAACACCCCACAGACGTCGTAATTCAGGGTTCAATCCTGGTTTGGCTACAAATAAGATTTCTCTGAAGATCAGTCTGTTGGAAGGAAACAAATCTTTTTTCTGTGTAACCTCCAGCCTCTGTTTTAGACCCCGACTATAAAGGTATCAACAATAAAGTTATGACCTTGTTCGGAGGCTAAGAAACAGTTTTTCCTCAAGAGCAAAAGGAGCGCACGAACTATATGACAACACGGACCCTGAAGATACCTTACCATGGTTACAAACCAAGTGACCGGTCTAAGGCCAACTACGGAAGGCGGTGTTCCCAAAAGAGCGCGCTTCTCCCCCAAGCCGAGGAAGCGCCGGTGGGAGGAAGGGGCCTTAGCTCGTGACAGACCTGCCTCGACCACGGCGGGGCGCGGAAAATTCCTAAAGGCGACCGCACGCTTCCGCAGGCGATCTTCACCGGTGAACGGCGGCCACGCAGCCCCGGCGATCGTCGCCGCCCGCGCCCCGCCGAGCCAGTCCTCCGGCCCTGGGCCGCCAGGTGCGCGGCAGCCACCCCGGGCCAACCGCCCGCCCTCGCCCGCTCCGTCCCTCCCTGCGCAGCGCCCGAGGATGCGGCTCCGCCAACCGGCCGCACGCGGCGCCGCCGCGCTGCTGCTCCCGCCTCCCCTCCCCCCGCCCGCCCGCCCTGCGGCCTCCGCTCCCCCCCTCCCGCCGCGACGCTCACCCTCAACTCCTCGAAATCCGCCATTTTATCCCGCCCGCGGGCGCCTCAGCCGTCGCCGCTCCTCCGCCCGCTGCCGCCAAAGACACCGCCGCCGTCTCCTGCAACATCCTGCACTGGGGCGCCGCTCTAGACGCCGCGGCCGTCGCCGCCGCCGCGCCGCCACCACCGCCGGGCCCGTCACGTGACCTGCGCGGGGCCCCGCCCCCGGCGCGCGCAGGCCCCTCCCCTCGCGGCGCCCCCAGCCCACTGTGCGCGGTCTTCCGCCCGAGCGCCCCCCACGCGCTTCCGGTGGCGGCCTGTCCCCCGCTGAGCGTCGCCGGCCCGCGTTTTCCACGGCCCCCTCCTCCCCTTTCCTCTACGCAGGGACGCTGGCCGCCACCGAGGCTCGTGGGAGCGGGCGGAACCGCGGCGCTCTTCCCGGACTTGGAGGAAGGCCTTGGCCGAGCCAGTGGCAGGGAGAAAAGAGGTGGCGGGACTCACCGAAACATTCAGGAAGATTCATTCTCACTGTGCTCTTGCCAAGGTGTCTGAGAACACGGGAAGCGGCCTCAGTGCCATCCCCACAGTAGCTGGGGTGGGATAATCCAAATATGGGTGATGGGTAAGCCGTTTTCTAAGATAATGGTGCTCGCGGATAAGAATTTTTTTGTGTGTTTTGTTTTTGTTTGTTTTTGTTGTTTGTTTCTAAGACATGCTATCACTGTGTAGCCCTGGCTAGGTTGGAACTATTGTAAAACATGCTGGTCCCCAACTCAGAGAGATCCACCTGCATAAACCTGAACCTCTTTTTGAGTGTGGGTGCCCCCACACCCAGCTGGATAAGACCTTTAAATTTCTGTCCTTAAACTGTTCACCTTGGCTGCTTTTTTATTTTTTCTTACTGACCTTGAAGGGAATGACAACAACGGCCAGAACAAACGAGTTGAAAGATTTGTAGGGTGAGGTTAGGAGAAAAGTGAAGTAAGAGTGCTCCAGAGGACCAGGATGGAGTTAAAAAGTCAGGAAACTCTGATAGCTGGGGGACAAATGAAGAGAGATTGCTGATGCTCCCAAACATGATGAAAGAATGGGGGAAAAAAGATGGGTACCTGCCTGCTCTTGGGAGGCTGGAGGAGGAGGACCAGGAATTGTTAATGTAGCCTCGGGTGGCAGAGACAGGTTTATCTCTGTGAATTCGAGGCCATCCTGGAGGACAAGGTGAGACTGGAGAAACAAAACCAGTGAGTGACATTGCAGAGTCAACTGGCTGGAACACACAGTTCAGATTCCATTGATAAGACTGGTGGAAGCCCCTGTTTAACACTGCTCCTAAGAAGGCTTCTTGTCATTTGCATTCATTTTCAAGTGTGGATCCTTGGGCAAAGAATTCCTACTCTATGCAATCTTGAGTTCTCAATTGCGTACTAAGCAAGCGCTTCCTTCGCCCATTTTAATTCAAATGTCTTCTTAAGGTGAGGTCACATAGCTCAGTGGTAAGCTCTTGTCTAGACAATTAGGCTCTGACCTCCCATTCCCCACCACAGGAAAACAAAAAAACTAAGCCCTACAAAGCTTCTTCTTCAATCCTTACCCACAAGCTAACTGAGCCCAAGCCTAAACTGAGTAAAGGATCTGTGTGCCATGAATAACGGGGTTCCAGTCACTGGAGTGTGCAGCTGACTGAATAAGGTGTAAAAACAAAAAGCTGCGTCTCAGTCACTTCTTAGTCACTGCACGGCTATTGCTGTGATGCAACACCATGGCCAAGACAACTGGTATACAATAAAGCATTTAATTGGGAGCTTGCTTACGGTTTCAAAGGTTAGCCCATTATCATCGTAGTAGGGGGCAAGGCACCTTGCAGGCAGATGCTGGAGCAGTAGCCAAGAGGTACATCCTGATCCATAGGCGGAAATAGGGGCTCTAGGCTTGGAATGGACTTTTGAAACCTCAAAGCCCAAGTGCTGTTGGTTGTTTTCTACTCTTTTGGCTCTCTGGAGGAAAGGGGGCTATGACTCAGCTCCCAAATATAAATACACAGAGGCTTATTGTTTCTTATTAATGACTGGCCTTAGCTTGACTTCTTTCTTGCCAGCTTTTCTTGACTTAAATTATCTTGTCTTACCTTTTGCCCATGGGCTTTACCTTTCTCTATTCCTGTATACCTTTCCTTACTTCTTTCTCTGTGACTTGGTGTGTAACTGAGTGGCTAGCCCCTGGAATCTTCCTTCTTTTATTAGTCCTCTCGGACTCCTAGACTTCCCCCTTCCAGATTTCTCATATTTATTTTCTTTCCCTGCAAGTCCCACCAGTTCTTTCTCTTGCTTTGATATTGTCCATTCAGCTCTTTATTAGACCAATCAGGTGTTTTAGACAAAGTAGCACAGCTTCAAAGTTAAACAAATGTATCATAAAACAGTGTTTGTATCATTAAAACCAATATTCAGAGCATGACACATCTTAAAATAATATTCCATTACACCAACTCCCAATGACACACTTCCTCCAACAAGTTCATACCTCCTAATCCTTCTAATCCTTTCAAATAATGTCACTTCTAGTGACTAAGCATTCAAATAGTCAAAGGGGGTTATTCAAACCACTACATTCTACTCACTGGCTCCCATAGGCTTGTATCCATTTCATAATGCAAAATTGCATTTAGTCCAACTTCAAAAATCCCTTTAGTCTGTCAGTCTCAACATTATTTAAAAGTCCAAAGTTGAAAGTTTCTTCTGAGGTTCATGCAATCTCTGAATTGTGATCCCTTGTAAAGTCAAAATAAAAAACCGGATTACACACTTCCAACATATAATGGCACAAAATATGTATTACTATTCCAAAAGGGAAGAAAGGGAAGAGAGTGAGGAAATACTGGACCAAAGCAAAATGAAACCGGAAGGGCATACTCCAAATTCTGCATCTCTATGTCTGATGTCAGTGCACACTTCGGATCTCCAACTCCTTTCAGCTTTGTTGACTACAACATACTTCTCTTTCTTGGGTGGGTTGCACATCCTGTTAGCAGCTCTCCTTGGCAGGTATCCCATGACTGGTATCTCCAGTACGTTGAGGTTTTCAAGACAGTCCAGTCTTCACCTTCACAGCTTCACACAATGTCCTCTCTGGGCCTCCTTGCAAGGACACCCCTGACATGCCTATCTCCGCAGCTCTCCTTAGTCTCAGGGAGATTCCACAACCCCCTTCTTGAATCTTTAACTCTATAGCTGGAACCACATGGCAGAAGCTCTGCTGTTTGCTGGAGCTGGCCCCCTCACTTTTCACCAGCTTTCTGTTGATGGTGGTTTCCTTCACTGCCTCAACTTCTCTTTTTAGTTCCATTGCACATCTTGGAAGCTTAGCTGGGCAAGGGCTTGTACTGAGGTTAAACTTTCTTATTTCATTTAGCATCATGCTTTTTTTTTTTTTTTTTTTTTTTTTGTTTTTCGAGACAAGGTTTCGCTGTGGTTTTGGAGCCTATCCTGGAACTAGCTCTTGTAGACCAGGCTGGTCTCGAACTCACAGAGATCCGCCTGCCTCTGCCTCCCGAGTGCTGGGATTAAAGGCGTGTGCCACCACTGCCCGGCTAGCATCATGCTTTTCTTTAAACTTTTTATCTCCTCAAGCACTGGACTTAGCTTCATTACACTTTCTCCTGCTCCTTTTTGTTTTTTTTTAATTTATTTATTTATAATATATACAATATTCTGTCTGTGTGTATGCCTGCAGGCCAGAAGAGGGCACCAGACCTCATTACAAATGTTTGTGAGCCACCATGTGGTTGCTGGGAATTGAACTCAGGACCTTTGGAAGAGCAGGCAATGCTCTTAACCGCTGAGCCATCTCTCCAGCCCCCCTAACTACATTTGTATTTCTTTGTCCAGCTTACTCCTTTTCATCATTACAGGTCTGCATAAGAATTACTAATAACCACAAGACAGGGTCAATACTAAGCTATCTTGAAATCTCCTCTACCAAAGCCATTAATCCAAAACTTTTCAATTTAGCCTCAGGCAGGTTTTTCAGACAAGGACAAAAAAGAAGCCACATTCTTTGTCAAAATATGGCAACAATGACAATGGTCTCTAGGCTATCAGTTAAGGATCTCTATATAAGCAGCTCTGGTACACAATAAAGGCATTCTTGGGGCATTTTGGCATGAAGGATGACCTTTGTCTCAGTCTGTGAGTCTTTATGTGTTTCAATATCCAGTCCCTTGCCTGTTTCACAAACTGTAGGGCAGTGGATGGAGCGCAGACAGGCGTGGTGTGCTACATTTAATGTCTTAAAGTTCTAGTCAGTAGAGTAAGGTGATTCCAGCTTGAGCTGCCATTGGGCATTTCCAGGTTTAGCCTTTTAGATCAAGTGTGCCTTATGATTGGCTGTCAGGGAAATTGGGAGGGGTCAGTGATTAGACATGAGAGAACTTTTAGGCAGGGAATACTTTGCTAAGGTTCAGAAGCCAGCCTTATTACCAGGTCTCATGATCAGAAATGACAGAAAATGAGAACTGCCTTTGCTGGTACCTGTCTTTGAGTGTTTGGAGTCTCATGTTCATTGCCACCTAAAAATCCCAGAGTGGGGAATTATCTCCCTGAAGCAGATTAGGATGCCTTCTGAAACTCCAGTAGTCATGCGATAGCCACTTAAAGGAAAGTCTTAATGGTACCACTTAAAGGAAAGTCTTAATGGTAAGTATAAAGCACACTTGTTACTTTTCTTCATTGTTGTAAGTTGTTCAACTCTGATTCAGATCTGTACGTCTCACTTGTCCAAAAAAGAAGGGAGGTGGGATGGGGGGCAGTGGTAGTCCACAACTTTAGTTCCAGCAC